TATAATATATATGTTGCTGGAAATGTCCCCACATTCATTCACAGCAATGTTATAACATAATAGAATGAAATACACCCCCTATTCACAACGCACTGAGCTTTGTTCCTGAAACCCCTGTGTAAATGCTAACCCATAGGACCGAATTACCCCCCGCAGTTAAAAACCCACGGTGTTCGCGCATGCACACACACGGGCACGCACACACACACACACACACACACACACACACACACACACACACACACAAAGGAACAGCAGAGAAACTAATATAGGGCCCATTAAACACCGTTTCAACATATAGCACTACCATAATATCACGCTCCCCGAGAATCTAAAATAGGGGGTCATTAAAATTCGTTTCGACATAGCGAGAAGTACTGTATCACTCGCGATTAACAGAACCAATACACGCCCATTAAATTCTGGTTCAGCATACAACTTTGCGTATATCAAACTTGCTCAAAAGAACGTTCTAGAAACCAATACGTGACCATTAAATATCGTTCTAGCTCAATAAAGTATCCGTTTGTTCGAAGACGTTAGACCACTTCACTTCTGAGTTCCTCCCCGCCCCATGCACTCGCTGCACAAAGTTGACACTTAAAGCGTTTTGTGGCAAAATAGCTTATCTCCAATTTTCGAACTTCTGGTTCTTTTTTCTTTTTGGTCCAAAATAAGGGCTGCAAGCAGAAGTAATGTACCGCTTTGGTTCAGGTTTTTCTCATACGCAGCTACCAGATTGTTTAACTTTAAAAAAAAAAAAAATTTTCACTTTTTTCATAAGGCGTATTATCATTTTTTAAAATTGTCCTTCACTTGTTAACTGATCTGAAAAAAGACAGAAAAAAGAGCCAAAAGACTGCGATGGACTCTTGGGAAATCTATTGTCGCAACTCCAGAGTTTCAGTTTCGAGCTATGGGTGAAAGGAATGGACGTGACAAGCTGGTGGGGACTCTGAATGTTTAATGAGGGAACGCGTTTATTAAAGTGCACCCTTTGCATTCTTGGGACGTTCACCAACGTGTACCGTTTGCGGTCTATTGGCGTTTACAAAGGTGCACCATCATATTTGCGTGACAGAAAGAATCTTACAGAAGGCGAGTGTTCTGGACAAAAGATAGAAGAATGTAAATGGGAGATAAAGGGAAAACCAACAAACTGTCAAATGTTCGAATGGGTAGAGAGACATCGGGAACTTGGACGAGAACCTGTTAAGTGAGCAAGTGCAATCCGAACATTACAGCTTACAAAATGAATCCGGCTTTACATGCACTTTAATAGGAGGGAACTTCACACAGATTTCATACAATAAATCTATTTACTCAGAGTACATAATATATAGATGTCTATATGTCTGATGAACAAAGTGAAGCTCAGCGACACGATAACGGCCGCCAAGTTCAGTGGAAAACGCCAGACAGATAGACCGAAAACGCAAGACAGACAGACAGAAAAATCACTGACAGGATGAAAAAAAAGGGTAGGCCCCGTAAGCGCGCAAAACTGACAGGAAATCGTTCATTATGGTGCAAGTGAGTTCATACAAATTTGTTTCACCACACGGTTGGGCACAAAAACAGGAACCGTGTAATTTGGGTGTGGGAACCATATTTGGATTATAAGAAAGGCGTACAAAGATATTTTAATAGGAAGTTGTCAAAATTGGTTAACTCCACAGGAAAGAAGGTGGTTTAGGGAAAAGACAAAGAGAAAGTCACTCGTGTCTTGTGCATTCATTGAATGCTCTCTCTCTCTCTCTCTCTC